CAGGACGATGAGGCCGACAGCCAGGGCCTTGCCAGATTTTTTGTCACTTTCACTTTTCTGCTTGGGTTGATGTTGTCCCTCTTTCAATCTTTTTTTTGGTGTGTGTGTGTTCTTTTCTTTCTGATCGAGGTGCTCGCAGCCGGGCCTCGCTAATTTGCTGCTATTGATTTCGAGATCTTTGAAGCGCATCGACTGCGAAGGCTTGCAGAATCTGGTGGGCCGGCGCAAGTGCTCTTCGAGACTGCGCTCTCGTTCCGGTGCATTTTCGGGCTTGGTGATCACTTTCCGTGACAAGCGCCAGGGAATACTTGTGTTTTGGTGACAGGCGCAGTAGATCGGAGTGGTTTACGTCGATGCACAGATTTCGCGGCACGCGGGGTACTTTGGACATGGCGGTGGTCTTCGGCGTGCTCTGATTTCATGGCCGGTGCAATGAATCCTGACTTTTGGACATGTGGCGCGTTTTCAGGAATGGGAAGAAGTCTCGAGCGAAAGCTGCGTTTTGGCATCATGAGATTTCGTGGCATGCGCAACACGTTGTGGACCTTGACGTGTGGATTTCGTGGCAGGCGCAATATTTTGCGGACCTTGAAGTACAGATTTCGTGGCAGGCACAGCACTTTGTGGACCTTGAAGTGTAGATTTCGTGGCAGGCTCAGTACTTTGCGGACCTTGAAGGGTAGATTCCGTGGCTGCGAGGGTCTTTCCAGGTAGGGCCCGCTGTTCTTCGTCGTTTTTCCGGCGCAGCAGGCGCGGCGCAGGATCCGATGCAGAGCTGGAATGGTTTTATTCAAAGTATTGTAAGTGTTGGGCGTTTTGGAGGTAATGGGTGGAGTGTTTTTGTTAGTGATGAATAGGGCTTTGGAAGTCATGAAAGATCTTGGGTTCAGGCCTTCGAGAAAACCTCGACCCGTGGCAGTGCTTGAGATGAGAGGACAGGATCAAGCCATGGCAGGATGTCTACTGGATCCCAGAGGCATCTCTCGTGCTCATGGCCTTGGAGGGGCCTGAGCAGGCGAGGGGCTTGCAAGCTCCAATGTTCCCAACCAGAACTCGACAATATCACCAGCGAGTTTCTCATAGAGGTTGAAGATGGGTTGATATTCTGATATTCAACGGATGTGAGGAGCTACTGTCTGCAGCGTTCGACACGCTCCTCAACCCATGGGTGTACCTCCAACGCCGGAGTCAACCGGCCAAGCGCTGGCCGTCTAAGACCCTGGCAGCGCACACTTGGAAAGACATTACATTGTAGGTGCCTACTGCGCACTGCATTGTCACAAGATAATGGCTGCACAAGCTGCAAGGCGGCTTGACCCCAAAAAGCTAGTAGGTAGAAATCAACAATCCCCCAATTCCAGAGAAGCCCAACAGATACAGACCGGACCCCCCATTAGACCCCGACTACTTCAAGAGGTAATATCAACAGCAGCCCAAACGATCTATCACTTGTCCCGACTCCGCAAGCAAATCCAACTTTCCGAGACACCGCAAGCCCTAAATCTGCATGAAGAGCTGATGCTGTTGAAAATCGGCTTCACTAGCATTAACTAATGAGATTGGTTAGTGTTCCCTGAACACCTTTACATGCTCTCTACAAACAGACAGAACGCCAATTAAAAAAAAGGCGAAACGGACAAAGAATGCGTGGGGATGCTAAGAGGGAACCCCAATTGCCAAAACGCAACGAGAAGGACAGGCGGAACGGACAAAGACTATGAAGGGATGAAAAGAATCATAAAGGTAGGGTCCCAAGAACCAGTCCGGTAAATGTTTATATTCCGATCACTTGTTGAACAATTGTCGAGTCATGGCTGCCAAGTGGAAACGAAGCAAGGCCCTGACCAGCTTAGATGCCCAACTCTCCTCAGCGTTGCCGAATAAACCCACGGTGATGCCCCAACAATGCTAGCACAAGAGCGTGTCATGATTAATTATGCCGAAATGCCGAAATGTAAATGTCAATTGATGTTGTGATTTCCAGGTATCCAAAGTTGTTGTTCATCATGTGGATCACAGAAGACAGGGGGCATGGAAAGTACAAGACCATGTGGGCCCTGGGTGCCACCGTTGCACAAGTTCAACCTCCCTAACAGTTGACAGACGCGCTTATCAACACCCAAGTCAACCAAGTGCGCCCGCCCGGGTCATTGGGTGGCTCCCTGTGCGGCGACCCTCTGGGGCACGCCCGTACACTGTCAGCTGTCTTCGGGAAAAAGAAAACATGTTTTTCCCGCACAGCCAAGGCGGGGCAAACCGTTTAAAGCGTCCTGGTTTTAACCATGGTTCGTCCCGGTACAGGCATGGACGATGGATCGGAATACGCCACGGAAACTAGAAACAGTTTCGTAGTGTAAAATATGTAAGCTCAAAAGCATTCACAAACACTTTTGTTGGGATACTTGGGAAACTCACGCGGCTGACCCAAAGGAGGTGCGCAGATGAATTGGTTTGTGGTGCCATGGGATGGTGTAGATGATGCGCTGATGAAGGTTCGCTGCCACTGGCAAAATTGGGTTTGAACAATGTTCACCAATTAGCGTTTGATGGTTTGAGTTGGCTTGAGTTATGTCTACCATAAAGAACATATGCAAGAGAAAAAAACACAAAATCCAAATCCAAAAAGCAAAAAAGAACCAAATTCAAGATCAAATTCAAGTCAAAAAACACAACAGTATCAAATCATTTTCCCGGCAAGCGACCCCAAACAGTGCGAAGTAGGACAACAGCAGCATAGATGAGCGAATTTCCGCGCTCTAGAGCACACACAAAAGAGAGCTCGCATATGAGGGCACATGCTCAAGAGCACGCATATGTGAGTGAACGCATGGGAGCACAGCCGTGAGAGCACACATATGAGGGTTCAAGGATGAAAAAACACACACTGAAAGGACATGAAATTCACAGAGCACTGCGCCTACGTTCAATTAGCGTCGCCCATTGACACACAGAGCAACAGAGAAGACCCGTGGCAAAGCATCCTGGGTCCAACAAGCCGGTGCCCAGGATGGCCCATGCCTTGTTCCGCTCATGATGGCGGATTTGTGGTGTATGACGAGAGCAGATGTCACAAACCCCGACTTGCGTGCGCATAAACACGGGCGGCATGCCTCAAGACGATGAAAATGTCCTTTTTTGGGCAAAGTTTGTTTTTGGGCGTCAATTAGTTGTTCCTTGTTGAACATCGAACATCATCATAGTTGCGAAGAAAAATCAAGAGACAAACCGAAGGAAAACCTTCGCAACCAATCCAGTTGGATCCACTTGAGTTCATGTAGTTCGGAAGGTGCAGAAAAAAAACGAAAAAGAAAACCATCGTCCTCCCCACCAGTTCATTCCTCCGAGTTCAGTTCATTCCCCCCATCACCGGTGGCCGGTCTTTCCAAGGCTCACCTCGATCAGCTTTGCAGCTCTCAGTCCTCGCGCCTGGTGCGTCCGGCCATGCGTTGCCTGTGCCTGGCGGCGGTGGCCGCCGCTGGGAGCGTGTGGAAGATGGGGGAATGGCAGAGATGTGTGAAGATCATCTTTTGTAAAATGCGGTTCCAAAAGAATGTACAAGAAATGATTGGTGAAGATACTGGATTTCTGTCACGCGTTCTTCGTGTCGCGAGACACGAGCCTTCGGAAAGACGAGTCTTCCAAAGCTTGGCTTTGTCCTTGCCCCCCCCGTGGCTTTGTCGTTGCACCACCAACTCGGAGGGACGTCGTCTCGGAGTTTTGAGACCTCCCAACTCCCAACCGCGGTCTTTCGCCCTGTTCGTCACAGAAACCGACATGTGGTTCCTGACGTGTCGGACTCTTTGCTTGCGCGGTGAAAACGCTTCCCTTTTTGGGTGACGCGTTCGCACCTCTGCGCAAACCCCGCGGTCCGAACCGTCGATCCTCCACGTTGGGCCGCGGTCGACGGAAATGGGCCGCGGTCGACGAGGAGGGCCGCTTGGAACGGCTGCTGCGACACCTGCGTCCGGCGGTGCAGCTGCTGCACTCGCAGCTCGAAGCGCCGGAGGTGCCGCGTGCCGCTGCGCGGCCGACGTACGGTGCTGGTGGGTCGGAGCGACAAGTGGATACGTTTGTTTGATCCACTTAGAGCATTTGTGTGTGGTTCATCAGTGGTTTCACTGACTAGCTTCGACTTTGTTTGAAAGACCTGGTGGAAAGGCTTGAGAACCCCAGGCCACTTTTCTGAAGCTGTGAGAGGTACTCGACCTGGAGGGGGGTCCGTCCAAGCTGCTTAGTACATGAATAAAGACGACAAAGAGTGGTAATGTGGCAAAAGACTGCAACGAGTAGTTCACTGTGTTGGCCTCTTTGGTCAAAGGTCGCATGGTCTTTCCGTTTGGCCATGGCTTCACGGTATCCGTCTCGGAGTGTTTCGGGTGGCTGGCCGACCCAACCTGGCAGGTGCTGATGAGCACTGCCAGTCTGTGCCGGCCTGGCTCAAGCAGAAGAAGGGCAGGCTCCAGAAAACATGCACTGCCGAGTTCCATGGATTTGGTGACGTCCACGCCTCCACATCTCTGGAAGGCCAGCCTTTTAGCGCCCCGACCAGCCGACCAAGCCGACGTGGTCCAAAGACATGTCCAAAGCCATGGCACTGGTGGGTTCTGAGTTGCTGTTCGTTCGGCGCGAAGCCTTTCGTTCGGCGCTTCTTTGGACGCTTCGGTCGAGGAACTGTGGGAAGATTCGGTCGAGTTGGACTGGCCTCGTCACCCATCACTGAGCTTTTTGTGGATGCGGATTCACACAGCATTGCAGAAATTCAGCAAGCTGTCAGCTGTTTGAAAGAAATGGATGGTGAGGTTCACACCAGTGTTTTTGCCGAACCAGGTCGAGCCAAGAACAGGAAGTGGAGTGAACTTCTGAACCAGCCTGGCATCACATTCCGGCCAGTTCTCCGGTCAAGCGATTGCTCGACGGAGCCCAATGATAAGGCTATTCAATGCGCCATGCAGGAACTTTCCACACGTCGTGGAGTGCACCGAATTGCATTGTTGACTGGAGATGCAAATTTTATTGCTACTATTCTGACTCTTGAAGCCACAGTGTCTAAGTATTTGGTGCTTGTCCCTGAGTACAGAAGCTGTGTGGTGGCCGCATATCAGGAGAATGGATTGGAGGTCTTGAAGTTGGAAGATGCTCGCAAAGAGCACGGTTCACGTGTTCGTGCTTTCCTTCATGCAGACGGCACTGGCTCAGTGCAACTTGTGGATCGCCATTGTTTTGTTGAACAGCGCTCGGAACGTGTGACATGTTTTCTTGATGATTTGGGATACACAGGGCACGTTGGACCAGCCTCTGTAAAATTTTGGTATGAGAATGGTCTAGGAAAGCTCGCTGTTTTTCCAAGTCAGCTTTCGATGCTGGCAATAGACGAAGTCATCAAAACGAAGCCATCCACCTGGAAGAAAAGTTCTGGCCAGCTTGCATTGTTCATCCCTTGTGGTCCCTTAGGGCGAAGTAATGAGAAGACCCGGCAAACGTTTGGAAGCAAGCGCGCCAAATCGATTTTTCGAGGTGGTGGGCCCTTTGTCTTGAAAGATTCAAGAGACTTGGCACTTCAAGCATTAAGACAGCTGGGCTACCTTGATGAACAGAATGCTGATGAGTTCGAGGCTATGCTTTGTTTTGTCAACGAGCCGAACAACAAGCACCACTTGCGGAAGTTGGACTTGCTGCCTCGGCGCTCAGACTGCACGCGCGATGTGAAAGAAAAGCTGCGGGCCGCATTTAGAGAGGATGCACACCCAACCTGGTGGCATCGGCAAACAACATCGGCAGCTCGAGTGAAGCAGATCGTTGAACTTCTAAGACAAGCCGGTGTCCTCTCAAAGAAGCCAAAACCGGCTGATCAATACTGCAGTGGATATTCCCAAAACGATATCTCTCAAGGGCTGAGCATCTATGCACGAGAGCAGCAGCTCCCTGCTTGCAAGACCTTCAACTGCTTGGCCTGGAGAATTTGTGCTCGCATGAATAGCGAAGATCCCCACCGCCGGGGCACCGTGGAATTTCGGAGATAGGCACTGGCTGCCTGCAGGCCAGACATCTCGTGCCGCTCTGGGAGTGCAGCGACAACTGCCGCTCCATTGCAGACATTCAGACTGCTCCATTGAGAATCGACATGGGACCTCAGTGGAGTTCAAGAAATTGGAGCACCAGCTTCGACAAATGCTCGTTTGCGCACCCAAGGGGCAGTGAGGGTGTCAGATGAGATCACTTGGCACTGAAATCCTTCAAGCATCCCACATAAACCCCATGCCTTCGCGCCGTGGCTGAACAGCCACGGATGGACACTTCAGATATACCAGGCAAGGCTTGTGACCCGTTTGATCCATTTTTCGCAGCAGATCCCCTTCAACTTGCTGTCAGAATGTCCGAACCCTTGTTCAAACCCCTTGTTCACTTGAGCTCTTACCGGAGGGGCCGGAGTCTGAGAGTGAAGTCGGCGTTCGATCAAGGGTCAGGTCCACGAAACAGAATCAAAGAAGCGCCCATTGCCCAAAACCCTCTAGCAAGCTGATTGCGCGATTGCGCGAGATCCCGATGTTGGACCAACCCAACCACGAAATAAGGCAAAGTGAAATGGCCATCAATGACGCAAGAATACACTGTATCTCCATGCAGTTTGCTTTGTTCGGATTCTCTGTAGATAGGTGGACATTGCAGAGAACGGTGCTGTGCTGCGCGCGGCTTGGCTTTGCGCTTGCGCCTGTGAATTTTGCCACTCCGACAGCAGGGCGGCCACTCCGGCAGTCCCGGTTCCGCCGGTTCGGTGGGTTCACAAGGGCATCCTTGTCGGCTTCACATGAGTCGGTGCTGCACATACAGATGGATTCGCGTCATGTCCTCCCTTTTTGGTGGGACCTGTTTACGGGTGAGTCGATATGGGTTTTGCTTTTTTCGTTACATCAAAGACGTTGTTTCTCCGTCTTGCGTCCTTTCGACGAACGGCCGGAACCCGTATGAACGGCACCGCCGTTCCGGATCTGTGTTCCATCGACCTCGGTGTCACGAAAGAGAAACCCCTCCCTCCAGCTGTGCCCACGGCGGATGACCACCCAGGTGATTTGAACCAAATGGCCACAGCCACAGATCTAGGCCTTGCACGGCCGTTCCTGGGCCAACGAGTGGAAGGTGAGTGCTGCTCAACGGGTGGAAGGGGATTGGGGAAAGTCCAATTCTTCAAGAGCTTCAAAAGTTCTTCAGAAAAAGTCCAGGTTTGGAGTTCACTTCCCAATTCAACTTGGGGACATTGGTCGGCAGATGGAGCCTCTACAAAACCGGAGATCTTTGCAACACTCTGTGACGCTTTGGATCGTTTCTCCACCTCAAGTTCCACTGGGCACCAAGTAGCTGGGCACTCTGTGGAGGGCCGGAGTCCTTTTTTGGAGCTTTTACCGTGTGGACTGAGGCGTTGGATTTCGTGCGATACTGAGCCCTCTCGGGGTCCTTTTCTTCGAGGGTTGAGAGATGCCAATACCAGTATGCCTGGGTATTGAAAAAATGGTCACTGATGTCCAGTTTTTGGTCATGTTTTCACTACCCTCCCCTCCAACCTTTTACCATTCCTCCGTCTTCGCACATTTGGTGTTTTTGGTCACCCACTCCGCCCAGGACCCTGGCATCGCGAGGGAAGCGTCCGCGTCCCACGGTGGGTGCCGGGACACAGTTGGCGGAGACCTTGTTGCGCACCTGCGAGGCCGGCAGAAAGCCACCGGCAAACGTACTTGGGGAGTCGGACACACCGAGAAGGCCACACCAGCGGAAATGGCAGGTAGTACTTGAGCAGTCCGGTGGGCCAGATGGGACATCAAGAAACCCATGGGCTGAGACCAAAGAGTGGTTTTTGGGTGGCCCTGGTCTAGAGATTTGGCGGCTTCGACATGGGCCGCCCGAATCGCTTCACCTCTACTACGTTTACGAGTCGCGAACCGAAGACCAGGTTTCTATTTTTTGTATGAGCGATGTTCATGAACCATGGAAAACCCTGGAAGATGTCCATGAAAAGCCATCTATGTCTGTGGATGTTCATCCATGTTTGCCCTTCACATCGACCCATCGGATGGGGGGAGGGCTGCCGTGGCAGGAGACGGGACGGGCCGGTCACGGTGGTTTGCTCTCGGCTGGACGCTTCTCTCGAACGGTGGGATCGGATGGAACCTCTCCAGCGTGGATTGGGAGTCTTCCCAGATGGAGAGTCGGAAGAGCCATCTTTCGCCTGCGATCTGTGTGATTTCCGGATCACAGGGTGCTCCGTGAAGCGAATCACATTCTCACAATGAAATAGTGGCCTCACAATCCCCAACGGAGGGAAAAACCGCAAAAGAAGACAAAAAGGAACATTTCTTGACGTCCGCACAAAATGAGAATGATGTTCACTGCCACTTGAGTTGGAACATGTTGGGACCATCCAAATGCTTCGTTCGCTCAAAGCTAGACTCAAACATAGAACACGTTGACTCAAACATAGACTACCAAGTCCTGTCCCTTTGAAGTGCCAAGTCTCACGTAGCTCCACGTGGCTGTTCGCGTCGCTCCACGTTCCGCGCCGCGTAGCGACGAGGTCTTCCTGTCCTTTGACCTGCGTGCTCCGTTGCCTGCCCTGGTGCCTGGGCTTGGTGGGTGTGCCGAAGTGGTCTGGTCGTTTTGGCAGAAGAACAGCGGCCCCAAGTGTACTGTTTGTCTTCACTGGTAGACCATCATGGACTTCTTGTATCAGTGGCCTAAGTACTTGAGGCTACAGAATACCCTCAAGTTCCAAGCCTTTTTGCATCCTCCAACGAAAGTGGCAGTTCGGTGGAAATGTTCGCCGCCGGAAGGCCACGTGCGCACGGGGCGTAGCGTCCCTCGTTGACGTCCTGGTAGCATATACCTCGTTCAATACAACCAAAACGATGCAAAGTGGGAATTCCCAGTCCAAGGTCAAAGGCTTTGGCTTTCACTCGCTCCCCTCCACCTCAGGTCATGGCTCTGGGCTTCGCGCTGAAGCGCCACTCGGCGCTGCTTCTGCGCGCCGCCGTGGAGACGATTTTGGATGCCGGCTTGGAGAACCGACCAGGTGCGGTCGCCCAAGGTCGAAGAACTTGCGAAAGGGAGGCCTGGGGCTTTGGGTCCTTGGATTCTGTTGGAGGCCACGCTGGCGAATCCGTTAAAGTATGGGATCAATGCTTGAGAGAATGCCCCCTGCAAGCACAGCTGTTAGGGAGAATCTGGTCATTGCAAATACAAAGCTGAATGGAATAATGCTCATATCTGGCATGGATCCGTTGAAGTGATAGTGAGACGCTCAGGTGGGGGTGGCGGAAGATCCGGTCGGTCTTCAAACGGGAAGTGGAAGTGAGAGATGATGTGGTCCGTGGCTCCAAACACACTGGAAAAAAAAGAACCAGATGACATCGATGTGACCAGATGTGCGTTTTTGAGACAAGGAACGAAGAACCAAGCACCTCTCGTTGGTTTGGTTCTGTCTTCTCTGCGCACCCTCTCTTGTGGCCCCAACAAGCGGCACCCCCTCCTGCCGCACGCTCACCCGAGATCGGTCCAGACCTCGAGGCGAAGAGCTCTTGACGGAGCGATCCTTGGAGGTGGTGACCAGTTTGTGTGATCATCTCGGCCAGGAGGCTGACGCAGGAAGAAAGGGGGGGGCATGCCGGCATGCGGTTTGCGCACGGGAGGTTTTGGGGGGAAGAAATGAAAAGGAAAGGCAAATCGATCTACCAGACTCAGCCGTTTAACCACTGCCATTGCCAGTGGTGAGTCATTTTCATCATGTCCACCACGACTGGATTGGATTGATGTGTTTGTTTCCTGGAGCCATCAGTTTTCTGGGGGTGATTAGCGGTGATTTGATTCCGCGATTGGAACAGAAAAGATTCCAAAAAGCTCAGGGCGATGGTTTTACTCCGGCCTTTTGGCATTGGTTTCGGCAGTGGGGCACTGCGATGGTTCATGCGCACATTCACAACAGAAAGCCACCATGCCAGACTCCACCCTTTACCCCAAAAAGCCCTTCACAACAGGCCAACCACTTCGGAATGTCTTTGTTTGGATCACTGTTCTCCCTTCTCCAGGAGCCAAGACTTCCCTGTCCACCCACCTCTCCAAGCTGGCGCGCCACGCGCCCGCCGCGCGGCACCTGGCGCACCTGGGCTTGCACCGCCGCGCCGAGCCCTCGGACGGCCCAGTGCGCCTGGTGGCGCTGCGCGCGCTGCGCGCGCTGCAGCGGGCGGGGCTGGCGGGACGCTTGGAGCGGAGCTGTGTGAGCAGGATGGAGGAAGGGAGAGTAGAGGATGTAGGTCACCAGTGTTTGGTGCTTCACTTGGGGGTGATCAAAAGAAACGGTCAAAACGGACGTGCTCTACATGTTCTTTTGGTTGGTTCAGTAGCTGTGGAGCTGTGTGGAGGCGTAGTGATCTACCAAGACGAGTCGGGTGGACATCGTTGGGTCCCGGATGAGTCACAGTGTGTTTCCGCGAATGAAATGACGAGTCGCAGCGAGTTACAGAGCATCCGGGGTTTGGCTGATTTAGGTGATTTGGGTGCCTTATGTACCCCCCATGGGTACATACAAGTACAGTGCTCATACATTGGTTAGACAAAGGGTTCCTGTTTGGCAAATCCATCGCTGGCATGCTTCGTTTCTCGGTTGCCTGTTCCGTACTGGGGCTCCAGATTACACCTCCAACACCTGTGGGATCAAAAGTTTTTTTCACTTGGACAAATCGACGGAGCTTGACCAAAGAACTGGTAGCCAGGTCTTCAATTTATTGTGACTTCTTCTGACCAGAATTCGTTCTATTCTATTCTTTCACAAAAGCCGGACTCGACCGACCTGACGTTCGCGGCGAACGCACGCACGCCGTTCGCGACACGCTCCGCTCAGGTCATCCCAGCGCCCTGGGCGCCGCTGCGCTGCCGGCGCTCTTCGACGTCTCTTCTCGACAGCAGGGCTCCGCTTTGCTGTGTGCACTGGCGCGGCGCGACCCACAGGCCGCACAACGGGTCTCTTGGTACGGGAGTGCTACCAAGAAGAGACGTACAGTAGGTTGGCCGAATCTGTCCTTCCCAAGAAAACATGTTCAACCTGGTAGACTCACATGTTTGGGGTCCGCTGTTCGGTTTCAGGAGCTTGTGGAGCTTGTGGCTACCTGCAAGTCCCCACGGAATACCAGAGATATTTTTGGATGGGTTTGCATGTATCATCATATATCCATACTGTACCCAACTTGCAGGTGGCATTCATGGGACAACAAAATGTAGATGAGTGACCAATATTCATGGTTGTCCCTACTGTCCTTCTCGTTCTATATACCTTTTCTGGAGTTGTGAGCCAAGCGCTAAACATGCCAATCCGACGACCTCGATCGGTGCCAGAGGGAGTTGCGAAAGCTCACGGGTCTCATGAGGCGCTCATGGATGGATGGACGTTGTTTTCATGAGGTCACTGGTTTTGGAGGATCTCTGGGACGTGGTGCGACGTGGGGCGGATGTGCACATCGAAATGTGGATTTGGATGCAGACTTGCCGTGCATTTGCTGGGGGACCAATGCTGTAACCGCCGGTGAAAAAATCATCGAGCAGCCGTAAGATGACAACAGCTTAATTCAGGTTCACATACTTATGACAGCTGCAACCTTGGGAATAGTCTTGGATCCATCCCTGCCAACCGGAAATCGAAGAGGAGAAGAGAGAGTTCTCTTCGCTTCTCAGAATGCTCTCTGCTAGCTTTGGAGGCCATCGCTCGTAGGTTCTCTTCTGCCACCCGGTCGCCTCCGCGACCGCCAGACCTCCGTCCCAGGCGCTCCCGCAGTGCCTGGTCCCGGGGCTACGGGACGCCTTTGCAGCGCTGCTATGGCAAGCTCCACAGCAGCTGGTCGCGGGGCCCCAGAGACGGGCCGATGCGCACGGTGATGCACGCTGTTTAGGCGGCCATGGCCGCAGAAATCTGGAGACAGATGTTTGTAACTCTTTTGGTTCTTGATGACTTGGGATGACTCAGGATGACCACATCTTTGCAGAAACATGGAAAAACCAGGTCGAGCACAAAGCTCAACACCCCCGTGTCTTCGTCCCTTTGCGGGGCGGAAGTGAGGCCCTGGGCCCTTCGAAGAACAACCACTTGTCACGTGCTGCAACGGAGGCGGCCAAGGCCTTTGCCCTCTCAGGCGGGACGAAGCACGCACGGCACGAGCCGGACAGAGCTTCGGATCCAGCTGAGGGCGACGACACGAAAGGTGGCATGTCGTTTGGGATCAGCCAGGCAGCTAAGTCTAAGTGAGGTCTTTCGGTTCTTGGAAGTGTTCTCGCACGTGTTTTGTCGCATATACGAACAGGCCAAATCGAGCCTCATGGGATTGGGTCACGTGAAAACCAACAGTTGCTTCCAGGGCGCAATGCTCGAGAGAAATGGCTGCGAGCGATTGTGGGAGAGCTGGGCAACAGCTTCAGCGAAGGCGGAGTGAAGTTCTTTCGTTGGGAGTGAAATCAAATGGGTGAATCCCATTTTCACGTGGCGAAACCATCATAGGAGATGATGAAAAAAGAAGTGGACTTAATTAAGTAAGGCCTTGCATGTTAAACTTGTACGTTACTGCCTACTGGACGCAGGATAGGTCACGTTATTCTATAGGGAAGCGTTTCTATAGGAGAAAAACGAGACCACGCGCGATTGGAGGGTCGCTGAAGTGTATGTACAAAAGATCGCCCAGATGATTGAAGGGCTCGACATTGGAAGGGACGAAATTCCAAGGGCGCCCAAAAACCGGTGCAACATCATTGAAAGGGGCTGAATCCCGAAGACTGACAAGCATCAATTGTGTTGAGATTTCTCACCAGATCGAGAAGACAGGTCCACTCTACTACCCTTCTCCACGTAAAGAAAGGATCCTTCAATCAAGATTCAGTCCATGTCGTCCTGAAAAAGAGATCGTTCACATCAGAACCTCGATGAAACCACAGCAAACTCAGCCTCTTCCCCACTTCCGAGCCTTTCAGGCCTTCAGCCCACTTCGGGGTGCTCATCCCCCCCCCCCCTAGACCGGTTCGCAGACCGCTTCCCGGCGCTGCCTTCGGAGCTGGGCCTCTCGCGGCGGCTGAAGCCCTTCGCTCGACGCGCATCGCCGAGTGCGGCGAAGCTTCAAGAGGCGAAGTGGTTGGTCACGAGACTCGTGAGAGCCTAACGCAGATCCGTATGAGACACCAAGGTCTTTTGTAGCAGACGGATCTAGTTCTTGCGTTCGTTGCTATAGAAAGAGAGAGGGATTTCTTGAAGCATCCAAAGAGTCGAGTGTCCCCTGTCGACGCAGACGAGCAGCCGCAGCTTGGATTGGACCGACTCATGGCCTCGGGAACCACGGCTGCAGCTGCTCTATTCGCATTTCTTGGCACAAGTCCTGGTGGCCTTGCCCTTGGCCCGAGACCTCAGTGCATGGCCTTCCATCTTAGTGATTGGACCCTTTGATAGGGTTCAGTTCAGTGAGACACCGGGACATGGCGGTCAGAAGACGTGGAGCAAGGTTGCTCGGTGGAGGTGGAGCTTCCAAAAGGTTCCCACAGCAAGACACTGGGATGCTCTTCATCGCCTACAGGGTGTCTTCAAGCGGATCTCCTCTCAAACAGCACTGAGGGATCTCCTCTCCCAATGGGATGGCTGCAGGGCGCGGTGGGTTCTTCGGCCCAACCCTCAGGTGCTCCAAAACCAAAATCCGCCCATCCGCCCATTTGCCCATGTCACCCAGTTCCGCTCGTCACCGAGGCTGACGGTGTCCACAGTGAGATCAAGCTCGTCACCGAGGTCCCTGTGTTCTTGGTGGTTGGGTTGGTTGGGTAGGGGTTGGCTGAGGGAAGTGTCGAAGGTTGGTTCTCCATGTTGAAAATCATGCTCTCCAGGGTCCAAGGTGACAGGTGCCGTGACAAGGAATGGCTCACCTGTCTGACATGTCTGGTGATGAACCAGCTGCCCATGGACAAACTCGGTATGTCCAGTCAACGGCGTCAACGGTGAACCCATGTGAAGCCCGGCCATGACCATCGTCGAACTTCCTTCCTGATGGGTGTGTGGAATCCCTCCTTGTGAAGGGATCACGCCATTCCAGTGTAGCTGCAAGCACGAGTCTCTCTTCGCAAGTCTCGCGTTTCTTCAACTACAGTCAAATCGAAGTTCAACGAGTCTTTTCGAAGAGGAAAGCCCAGGGAAAACTCCACATCGATCTCGTTGACTTCCGACCCTGAACTGGGCGCCACGGGGTCGCACCGGAACCTGCGACGCGACCGTGCGCTGTCTGGAGTGATTTGGACCACCCACCCGGACATCCCCGTTCGTAGCGTCCTTGTTGCTAGTAGTAAGGCCAGGAGTCCTGTTCGGTTCGTGCAAACCGGGCAAACCGGTACAAACCGTCGGAAGGAGTGTGAGAAGTTCCTGGAGCTGCGCGCAGCCTCCGCCGCCTCTGCCATGGAGCACGAGGCGCGGACTGGGCACGTTGGACTGGGACAGGTGGGGCGACTGGGCGACTGGTAGCGTCCGATCGCTCCTAGTAGCGATGCCAGGAGCCCCGTTCGGAGCGAACCGTGTTCCGTTCGTAGCGATGCCCGAAATGCTCCGTTCGTCGCGTCCTCTTAGAGGAGCCTAGTAGCGTCCTCTGGCTGAGAAACCGAGATGAAAACCCTGGCGACGGGCGAGTTGGCGTTGGGAAGTCGGGTCGAAATCCACTCCGCCTTGTCACCAAGCGGTTCGAGTGGGTAGCTTCGCATTCGGTCAAGAGGTTGATTGGAGGATGCACTTCCACCTGTCCGTTGAAGGCATGAACGGCATGTGCTAATTTCCCTCTAGCTACCCACATGAAAAAAGGCTGAAAACGGATAGCCCAGGCCCAGCATAAGTTCTACTGCAGTTGCCTTGCTTGGGTGTGAACAGGTCTTTCTTTGAGGAGCTGCGCCTTAGTTGGGCTGCTTGGAGCTTCACAAAAGCATTACCGGTCCTTGCAGAAGTTGGCTCGAACCGTAAAAAGACGCCAGTGTTTCCAGATAACCTTTATGGACTCACTCTTGCCAAGTTGAGGAGACTGGAAGGGACGACATTGCCAAGTAAGCTTCATAGCCTTTCCTTTTCTGAACATTTCAACCAGAGTTTGGAAGCTCTTGTTTTCCCCAAGCATCTCCAACATATCAGCTTCGGCTTCGAGTTCAACCAACCTTTGGATCAAGTGACACTTCCTCAAAACCTTCAGAGCCTTCGCTTCGGCGACCGCTTAGACTAAGGCCACTTAGGTCATTTTGCCGTGCGGTGACGCGCGGCTCGCACTGGCTACTCTCCATGTATGTCTTCGGCAATGATGGTGATAGTCATCGTCTATACGCTCTTTTTTTTTTAAAGCTTGACATTTGGTCATGACTTCGATCAAAGTTTGGGTAGAGTGCTGCCCGCAAACCTGGAAAGTCTTCAGTTTGGCGATGCATTTAATCAGAGTTTGGCACCGATGACACTGCCCAGTGGCCTCAAAAGGCTGCAGTTGGGCTTGGGCTTCAGCCAAGACTTGGCAGAAGTCACTTGGCCCAGCCTTGAGAAGTTGGGTTTTGGAGATTTCTTCGAGCCGAGTTTCCAGGGAGTCGTCTTTCCCAAGACGCTGCGGACGCTTCTGCTGGGCTCAACGTTCGTTTCGGAGGTGTCCAATGAGACCTTTCCAAGCAGCCTTGAGAGTTTGTCCTTTGGAGAGCACTTCGATGAGAGTTTGCAAGGAGTCACATGGCCAGAGAACCTTCAAAGCCTGTCGTTGGGGAACACCTTTAATCAGGCACTGCATGGGGAGCTGTTGCCCAAGAACTTGCAAAGCCCTACGGGCTTAGGTTGGCGCATGCATTGTTTTTGACCTTCGGCGATTGCTTCAACCAGAGTCTGAAGGATGTGCAATGGCCTTGCACTCTGAAGAAATTAACCTTGGCTGAAAGCGGCTGAAACAACCAACCCCTGGAAGAGGTCGCCTTCCCCAACAGCCTCGAAGATCTGTCGTTTGGTGAAGGGTTTCTTGGCGGAAACACGTCACCGGCACCGTCACCGGTCGCTTTCGGTCTCAATGGGCGCTGCCCGCCGTGGGCGGTTCAATGGAAGTCACATGGCACTGGGTCTCTGAAGGAAAGGTAAGCAGCAGATGTAAGCAGAAGCAGAAGCATTGTTTGTACTGATACAGTGCTTCATCCCATTGACCTGACCCGCTTCGATGGCTGGCGACTTGCTGCGGCGTTGCCCGAGAGACTTCGAAGTTTGGAGAGCGATGGGATGCAGATCAGCGTGGAAGACTAGAGCTGAAAAAGAAGCCCGTCCGTCCATGTTGGAGGTTGCAGGGTAAGATGAATCCGGAAGCACATCCAAAGGGATGGAGTCCCTTCAGCATTGTGAAAAGGAAGCAAGGAAGAAGCACACCCAAAAGCTTGGGTTGATCGGTTCATATGTCTTTGAGTCCCAGGACCACAAGTTCTCATCCTTAGGTTGCTTGACAGAATAGTCAGTGCTCTACATGCGACCTCACAGCTTTTCCGCTTCTTTCTTTCTCGATCAGTGCTGAATCAACACCATGGCGACAGAGGAGCAGCTGCTAAAGCTTCAGGCGCTATCTCGACGAAATGAGTGTCGAGTGCAAAGGGACAACTGCTATTGACCTTTTCCGAAAGCAACCATACATAGGCTTGGAAGTGACGGGGAGAAGCCAATCCTACTTTTGAGGGCTCAAAACACACAAAGCGAGGGCATCCAATCTTAAAATCAGGTGCTCTAATTATAATGGTCATGCTCAATATAGAGGCACCCCAAAACATTCAACTAGCCACCTTTAAAATTGTTGGGCTACTCGGCCGTATATCGTAACCAAGACGTGCAAGCTCTTGATTTGCACGTGCTTCCCGCTGTCAAGCTGCCAAAGGTGCCAGGCTTGGATGGCCAGAGCTTCACCTTCCACGTGGACGAGAATCTGCTGGGCCGAGCTTTGTGGCAGCGGGTCGTTGAGCAGTTACCGCCCAAGGCAGGCGCTCGAGTGGTGCTGCTGAAGGGAGCGGAGAAGCTTTGCATGAAGAAGACCTTGAAGGAGCACTGCGAGTTCGAAGAGTGGACAAAAGCAGAAAAGACTGAAGAATGTTTTAAAACTCTGAGTCCGCTAGTTGTAGATAGAAACCTGACATGGGGTTGGGGAAAATGAAACAAATGAACATGTTGAGGGTGAACTGGAAGGAATAGTTGGGCTCTGGGCCCAACACTCACGTTGGCTCTGAGTCCAGGTTGGGTATGGATAGACTAGTTGAGACGAGTACCCTCAAGCAGTGAGGCTCAGGAGACTCCGGCCTTTCACCGAAGAAACCTCCAAGCCAGACCTCAGCGACTGGCAACGGTTACGTCTGATGTTTGTGCCTCAAACCAGCCTTCTTTGTTCCACCCCAACCAGCTCGGAGCGCTCAAGGAGCAAGGGCTGAGCGGTGACGCGTCCGACGTGCCGTGCTTGTCCTTCGTCTACCGTCCGGTGAACTTGTTGGACGCCTGGCGCTTCCTGTCCGATCCCAGCGATGGGGAGGGCCAGGAGCGGGTCCCAAAGCAGCCGTCCATGCCTGAGAAAGGCGTTCTTTCGCACAGAATCACCAGCCTGGAGTCTGTAGCAACATAGCAAGGACGCTACTAGGGGCTCCTGGCATCGCTACTAGGAGCAAGGACGCTACTAGGGGCTCCTGGCCTTACTACTAGGAGCAAGAAGCTACTAGGGGCTCCTGGCCTTACTACTTGGAGCCAGGACGCTATGATGTCCAACTTTGTTCGTTTTTTTGCCGCACTGGCCATGGCCCCCATCGCACCCACGTTAGCCGTTGACAGGAGCTCTTGGAGGGCCTCACCGAACTCGTGGACGTCGCCAGAAAACCGGAGCTTTTGCCCAGTACTTTGAAGAAGCTTCGGATCGAGACTTAGAAACAAGATTAATCTCAGATCAATGGCAAAAGAAAAAAGTAAGGAAAGATCAGTACTTGCGTACATTTGAGCGGGCTATGAATGCTTTGGTGTTCTTTTAGAGCAGTTCCTCTTCTTCTTTCTGATCTCTTCCAAATCATCAGAATGAGCAGCTCCAGAAATGTTTTACAACCATCAGTCTTGCCTGCCTTGTTGGAAGCTGGCATCCGGTCCACACCATTTCAAAGAGGCAAGGCGGTTCTCATCATTTCTCGATGGGGTCTAGCGGTAGATGGAACGCAACAACCAATCAATGTCAGTCCGCACTGCCAAGAACAATTAGGCTGCCATGTTCTACAAAACCTGGTAGAACAGGGCAAGGCATCGCTGACCTATTTCGTCGTTTGTACTGAAGACCTGGTTTGGGCCATGGGTTTGGGCCCCAAATGGGAAACGATTTCACTGCAAACTCAAAGTCTCTTCTCCAGCCGGACCTTCCATCAGGACTTCGACGAAGTCGAGGAGACGCACGGCGATCAGACGGAGAGGGCGCCTTCTTTTCCAGCTGCTTTAGAGAGCCTCACCTTCGGCGATCGCTTCGACCAGAGTTTGCTCCACTTCCGATGGCCCCATCTCCGAAGGATGGCCTTTGGGTGGCATTTCAATCAGACCTTGGAGAATATCACTTGGCCCAGCCAGTTGCAGAGCCTCACATTGGGTTGGAAGTTCAATCAGAGTTTGGAAAGAGTCGACTTCCCAAAGACTCTGCAGAGCTTGACTTTGGGGAGTTGCTTCAACCAGAGTTTGGGTGTGAATTGGCCCAGTACCCTTACGAACCTCACACTTGGTGAATTCTTTGACCAGAGTTTGGATGGGGTTGCTTTGCCCGAGAGGCTTCATAGCCTGACATTTGGCAGCAACTTTAATCAGAAGTTGCAAGGAGTGATATGGCCAAATGATCTTCATAATCTAATCTTCGGAACTGGCTTCAACCAAAGCTTGGAAGGTTGCCATTTGCCAAGAAATCTCCAGAACTTGACATTCGGCCATACTTTCAATCAAAGCTTGCGAGGAGTGGTTCTACCAGATCAGTTAAGGCTCCTAAAGTTTGGCCGTTACTTCAACCAGTGCTTGAAAGAAGTGACATTTCCAAGCAACCTCCAGAGCCTGACACTTGGGGACTGCTTCAAGAAGAGCTTGGCCGACGTGAACCTGCCCCATAACCTTCAACACCTGGTGTTCAGCAGCGATGTGAACTTGCACAAGTTGACTTTGCCAAGTCTTCGAAGTCTAACGTTGCAACAGGACATCGGCGAACTGATTTGGCCCAGAAACCTTGAAGAGCTAACCTTCGACGTGCGCAAAACGTGTCAAAAATGGATCGCACCGGCGGCCTTTCCTGAGAGCTTGCAAAGCTTAACGTTTGGATATAGATTCAACCACAGTTTGGTAGATGTGATATGGCCAAAGAACCTCCAAGAGCTTACCTTCAGCGAGTGTTTCAATCAGACACTGGAAGGGGTGATGTTGCCCGACAGCATCCAACGTCTGACGTTTGGCTATTTCTTCAATCAAAGTTTGGAAGCTGTTGCGCTGCCAAGCCATCTTCGGAGCCTGGTCTTTGGTGAAGCCTTTAACTGCAGTCTGGAACAGGTTCGTCTTCCAAGCAGTCTCAGGAGCCTGGTCTTTGGCTGCAGCTTCAATCAGCCCTTGGATCGCATCACCTGGCCGCCCTTGGAAAGCCTCACCTTCGGCGAAGGCTTTGATCAAAGCTTGCTTGACGTAGTACTTCCCAGCACTCTTCAAAGCCTGGCTTTGGGCTACAGCTTCAATCAGCCATTGCTACTTTGTCATTCTTGGAAAATGTCGTCACCTCCCACTCCCACCATACCAATATCAACAGAAGAAACGAAACGGTGATCTTCTTCTATGAAAAGAAACACATGCGTTTCTTTGCGTCCTGGTCTTCATCTCAGGCTTGGTGTGATCTTCCCCGAGAAGCTTCACAGCCTCAGCTTGGGCAAAGGCTTCGACCAATGTCTCCGTTCCGTCGCATGGCCCAGCGGCCTCCGGCGGCTGCGCCTGGGCGCAGAGCTGTCCGTGGAGCGGCTTCCGCAGATCGATGGCCTCCGGCACTTGGAGTGTGGACGGTTGGTGATCAGCGCAGAAACGGAAGACATGGATGACATGTTGAGAGATGAGAAATGACAGGAAAAAAGTTTGAGATGTTGTTGGCCGGGCCTGACGGTTTCTTGAGGAGGGAGTTGGAGGGAAGTCAGGGAAGTAAAAGAGCCAATAGGAATGAGGATGTATCTTGATGTTTCAGTGGTGTTCAGGAGATAGACGTGTTGATGTACCTGGCACATGTTCACCAGAATGGCCCACCCGATGAACCGGATTGGAAGGCAGCTGAGAGGAACTGCCGATGACATGTCATTGAAGATCCGAAAATGAGGCGTTCATGTCGTTTCTGCAAATTCTTCCAAGACACAAGTTGTTCAAATCCTTTTTGTCGCAGGGCTCGATCAGCGATGCCACTTTGCGCATTTGCATCATCTCTGTGGTGGAGAAGGCTCGCTGTTAGCTATTAGAAACAAGTGCCTTACTAGTAGTAACAAAGTCACTCACTTGGTCTCTTCGCTGGTGCGACCGGCGTGTCCCCGGGTCACGCGCTTCGTCGCGTCGCACGGGTGACGACCGGGACCTCGGGTCGGGTTGCCCACCATGTGGAAATGCTTCCATCACCAACGTGACGTTCTATGACCAGTTGTTTCCTTTAGGTTAGGTGATGGAAGAGAGCAGTGATGATACACCAACAGATGGCTCAAATCCTGTACCACCTGAGCATCGTGGAGGCCTTGTGTCCAATCGGTCTATTCTGTGGCGTGGTTCCCGACACTGAAGAGTCCAAGCCGATGAATCCACTCTTTCCAACACATTTCCAAGTGACCTAAAGGAATTTCTGACTAAAAAGAACTCTAAAGGTCAGGAAAAACATCGAACTACATGAACAAATGGCGTCCGCCCGAGGCGCTGCTGTCCGCCCTGCGGGCGGAGCTCCCCTCGCGCCCGGCCGCGCTGCTGGCGGCGCTGGCGCCGCGTCGGGAGGCGCTGCTGGGCGCGGTGCTGGGCGACGCGGCGCAGGCGGAGCAGTGCTTCGCGGAGGCGCAGAACGGTGTGATCCTTAGATCCGGGGCCATCCACGTTGAGCAGTGCTGGTGAAAGGAAAAAGGGAGACCCCCCTTGAAGGGGATGAAGGGGGTGAAGATGCTGGGTGGAGGGAAAGCACCCAAGGAGTTTGCTGGAAGATGGCTTAGGTGAAAGTGGACATCTATTGCCACATGGAAGTCGGTAGACTCGGGTAGATATTGAGTAGCGAGTCGGATGGAGCTTTCCAATGGGTTTCTTCAAAAGTTTCAGCGGTTCTATCCTGGCTCAGACCAAGCTTTTCTTTGCAAGTACAGTTCCTCCCAAAACTCCTCCAAAAAGGATGGAGATGACAAATCCTCTTGCCGAGGTAGAAGGTCGTACCGGCGGTCCGCCCGTTGGCGGTGCCCGTTCTTTCGCTTTTGTTTTTCCCATGGCCTCTGGTCACATCAATCCTTCGTTGGCCATCGCCCGAAGTCTTGTGAGCCTGGGGCATGAAGTGCACTACTTGTGCCGGGAACAGATGAGGGAAGCGATCGAAGACACTGGCGCCAGCTTTCACAGCGACATTCAGATGCAACATGAGCTCTATGAAGGTCGGGATCCAGCCATGTTCGGTGCTCTTGGATCTCTTCAAGAAGAACACGGCTTGAAAGGCAGCTTCACCAAAGCACGTTTGCTCTTGCGAGAGCTAGCCATTGAGCTGATGCTTCCGGGCACCTTGCGTTGGCTTCGCAGCATCCATGCGGACGCCGTGCTCTTCTGCCCTCTCGTCAACTTAGAAGCGCCATTAGCAGCTCAAATCTTGGGTATTCCTTCGGCAGGGCGGCTGACCACTGCAGGGCCTGGGAGTCCTTCGGCTCATCGGAATGTTCGCGTTTGCTTTTTCTTCCCGGGTTTCATTGGCCTTTCTGAGTAGTAAGCGAACTGTATACCACCTTTCTTTTCAAACATGTTTGGAAGGCGAAGCGGACAGACTCTGGGCACCTCTTTTTCCAAACGGAATTTCCTCAGACACCAAAAAAGGGACCTGTCATGTAGAGGTGTTAAACCAAACAGCTTCTTCGCGTCGAAGTCTTCGCGTGGAATTTCTTCACTGTCTTCGAGTCGGTGAGGTGTGAAACTCATTTTTAACAACCTGTTGAAGTCCGTCAGCTCCACCGCCGAAGAGATCTTAGAGGAACGCCTCAGCTTTCCAGCACTTCACGAGTGCTTGGATCGACTGCGAGAACGTTATGGGCTCCAGATGCCTGTGGAGGATACCTTGAAGCCAGTGGGTTTCTGGGCGCTCAATGGCGCTTTTGGACCAAGATTTGCTATTAGGTTGAAGGCTATCGCGGTCGTAGGCTGGAGGACATCACCTACTAGGTTCACCGAGCCCACCAAAGCGAAGATCGAAGATTTGCTCCCTCTGGTAGCTAGCCACATGTCTTCCAAGATGCCAAATCAGCTATAGCTAAGATGGTGCTTCTCGGGTGTTTTGTTTCACCCGAGCTTCGCTCCAGTTTCCCGAGGCCTGATGCCAAGTGCTTTGGCTTCTGCCCTGACCTTGGTCACCACCGCAGAGTTTCTGGCGGATCCAATGCCCGCAGACTTGGAGAAAGCTTACGACGGCCATGAATTTCTATTCTTGGGCCCTTTGTTGGACAAGCCTGGTGACTATGGCTCAAAAGATCTAATTTTTAGCAGGAAACTGCTAGGAACAAAGGGCATCCCTACTACGAGAAAGGACACTAGAAAGGGGCTCCTGGCCTTACCAGTAGGAACAAGAAAACTATTATTGTCTTTTCCTTTTTTTTCCTTTCTTTTCATGTTCCAGACCATGTGATTCCAATTCTTCACCATCGACCACTGCTACCCTATCTAGCTCAGCTGTGGCTCGGTGACCTTGCAATTAGCATCGCAAACAGCGCTGCTTTTCGCCTCTCTTCCCCTCGTTTCAGGTGCCAAGCGTGCAGCTGGTCACAAGTTTGGCCACCCTTCCAGTGACGGAGAAAGCAGCTCTGAAGAAGAAGTCTTGGCCTTGGCGCGCGCAGCGAAGGCCGAAGGCCGCCTGGTGATTTTGGTGAGTCTTGGGACCGTCATCACGGGAGATCATGTCGACTACGGCTGGAACGCCCATTGCAGCATCGACGGAGAGAAGAGAGGCCTATCCGGCAAGGAGAACTTCAGGGCCGTTTCGTACGTTGAAAAAGAAATTTCAATCCGAAGGATCCATGACTTTCCATGCGAGAACTGAAGGGAACTAAGCTTGTGGAAGACACAATACGATTGAGCAACAGCAGAAGCGACCCAGCTTGGTCAACCTGGCAGCAGCTTCTAGATGTCCACAACTGTTTGACTTGATTCTCAACAACTAATTAGCGATCACCAATCACAACCAATCCTATTCTCGCTCTCCCAGCATACTGAACAGATCTTCCTCAAGAGTTCTAGAGGCAAGTAAACTTCACTTGGCGCATTTCACCATGGTAGGTGGAGCTCCTTAGTCGATTCTGTTCATGTTCCGTCCGGAGTCGCCATGACCCACCAACTCTCGAGGAGCTCTGTCAGTCCGCCTGGCAAGCGGCCTTCGACGTCTTTGGGACGGAGGACGCGCTGATCCTGTTGGCCTTGGGACCTCAAGCGGATGCCCTCGACCACCTACAGGTGGGTCACAGTCCGGCGGTGGGTTGGAGGAAATCACCTAGAAAGAATTAGAAGGAGATGAAAGGAGATGAACGATGATAGCTTCTTAATAGCTTCTTGCTACTAGTAGTAATGCCCTTGTTACTAGTAGCTTCTTGTTGCTACTAGTAAGGCGAGGAGCCCCTAGTAGCGTCCTGGCTCCTAGTAGTTTCTTTGCTCCTAGTTAGCGATGCCAGGAGCCCCGAACATAGGTAACATTGTTCCTAGTTGTGTCGTTGTGTTGTTCTTCTTTTTCCCAACAACCTTTGCGTCGCTCCGTCCCATTCCTCTTAGCGAAACAAGGCTCCGCCTCGCAGGTGCCACCGAACGTCTTCTGCCGCGCTACGCTTCCGCAGGTGGGGCGTGGTGCGAAAAGGGAACCTGGCACTGAGTCTGAGTGCGGTGAGTAGGAAGGAGGGTGGCTAGATGTTCTCAAATTCTACTTAAGATCGGTGATTGTTGGCACACCCAGTCAGGGAGCTGGAGGTGTCTCCAAATTTCATTCATTTGGCTTTGGCCGTTCCCTTCTTTTTCAGAGCTTCGTCAGGTGGATTTGCTTCGACTTGGAGTGGATGTCTTCCTAACTCATGGTGGACAGAACAGCTTCATGGAGGCCTTATCCACCGGAGTCCCCATGGTAGTTCCTTGCCAAACTCAGCATCTGGTAGTGCGCGCGTTGCTTGTAGTAGCCTTTCCAGGAACGTCAGGAGCGTGATGGTACTGCAATATTGTTTCGGACGTGAAATGCATGTCGCCACTGTTCTAGACCACAGCCATGGTTTGGCATGTCTTGTCTGTACCAGCGTACTTCGTATCACTTCGTACAAGCAGTTCCCGGGCAAGCCGGCGGCGGAAGTTTCCGAAAAGAACAAATTGACCTATAGGAGTGGCCCGGTTCTTTCCACCATGCGTGTCCCTCGTGTCCCTCAGTCAGACGCATGAGTGATGAGTGATGAGTGAAGCATAGCTCTAGCTCTAGCTCCGAGCTCCACTAAAGCTAACTGGAGCTAGACGTTAACTATGATGTGATAGCTTGTTTAGACACGAAGCTAATTAGCTCAAATTTGTCAACCTCTCAAAACACGTGTTTTGAGGTCTCCAGAAAGTAATCGAAATGACTACTTTTGAGTCAGCAAAGTAGCTAAAATTTGTCAACCTCTCAAGAGAGCCGGGTGGTCGGGAGACATGACTCAGCTGCAGGGACGCCAGAGCAGCGGCGAGAGATGACTCAGCCGCGTACTAAAGTTGCACTACTAAATCGCCAGGTCTCAGCTTCCAGCTCCACAGATTGCTCCGCGTACTAAACTTGTACTACAAAGTCGCCAGTTCTCATCTTCCAGCTCCCCAGATACTCCGCGTACTAAAGTTGTACTACAAAGTCGCCAGTTCTCATCTTCCAGCTCCCCAGATACTCCGCGTACTAAAGTTGCACTACAAAGCCGCCAGTTCTCATCTTCCAGCTCGCCAGATGCTACGCGTACTAAAGTTGCACTAGAAAGTCGCCAGTTCTCATCTTCCAGCTGCCCAGAGACTCCGCGTACTAAAGTTGTACTACAAAGTCACCAGTTCTCAGCTTCCAGCTCCCCAGATTGCTCCACGTACTAAAGTTGTACTACAAAGTCGCCAGCTCTCAGCTTCCAGATTGCTCCGCATACTAAAGTTGTACTAGAAAGTCGCCCGTTCTCATCTTCCAGCTCCCCAGATAGTCCGCGTGCTAAAGTTGTACTACAACGTCGCCAGTTCTCAGCTTCCAGCTCCCCAGATTGCTCCGCGACCTAAAGTTGTACTACAAAGTCGCCAGTTCTCAGCTTCCAGCTCCCCAGGTACTCCGCGCACTAAAGTTGTACTACAAAGTCGCCAGTTCTCAGCTTCCAGCTCCACAGATTGCTCCGCGAACGAAAGTTGTACTACAAGCAGTTCCCGGGCAAGCCGGCGGCGGAAGTTTCCTATAAGAACAAATTGACCTATAGGAGTGTCCACGTTCTCTCCAACATGCGCGTCCTCCAGTCAAACGCACGCGCTCCGGACTTTTGACCCGCGGGATTCCACATGTGTGTAAGGTGTGTGCCCCCTGCAGGATCAGTGTGTATGATGAGTGGTGTATTGACCAGCAGTTGAATGTCCTGCCCTGCATAAATGCAACCAAATACTATCAGTATGAACTGTGCCAAACCTGCACGCCGCGAGAGATGACTCAGCAGCGAGAGATGACTGAGTCGCGAGAGATGACTCAGCCGCGAGAGATGGCTATAGCGAGAGCTGACTCAGCAGCGAGAGATGAATGAGCAGCAAGAGATGACTCAGTCGCGGGAGATGACTCCTCCGCGTACTACACTTGTACTACAAAGTGGCCAGTTCTCAGCTTCCAGCTCCACAGGTTG